AACTTTTATTTCCAAAATCACACGATAAATACATTTGTGAAGCTTGTAAAGGGAAGATGACAGGCACCTCTCAATCGCAATCTGCTGTTCCGTAGCGCAGCCCCCCCCTCCCTCCGGCTGAAATTATGAATGTAAGGCATAAGTAATCATAGATAACACGGCAGGGTCCGTTACAGTTTGTTTTCATCTGATTTCAATTAAACAAAGTCTTGGCTTTCAGAATATTAAACTTGTTTCGGCAAATTTAGATGATAAATACAACTATGAAGCTTGTAACGGCATAATTACAAGCGGAGAACGGAGTAACTTAACGTCACAGCAGGCATAACAACAGCCGGTGTTTCTCGTGAGTGTTTTCCCTGGGAAACAAACACAATACACACAAACGCAAAAATACACAAACACACACACACACATACACTCACACACTCACGAGCTTCCCCCAGACCAGTAATCCAAACGGAAATATTTTCCCTCCGGACTATTTTGATCATTTGCTCCGCTAATAATCAATCAGATCGATGGATTCCAGAGAAGAGGAAACTTTGAAGGCCTTTTTCTCAAAATGATGACTCGGTGACAGTCATTATATAATGTGACATATTTTGCTTAATATTTGGAGTACAACAAAAATCTTGATATCATTAGAAAGCTAGGAATCTCCTCTTTCCAACAGTGTATACAACTCAAAATGTGTCTTCGGGTCAATGCGACTGATTTCGATAGAGCAGGTCACATATGTGCATTTCAACTTACAGATCACAAAAAACCATTAAGTCAAAGGTATCTGGAACTGAATAATATATAATAATTATTTATGATCAAAACAACTTGTCAGATCTAAAAAGGATTTCGCAACATCTGTGTAGTAATCCTAACCACCTGAACGGACCAACCCAGTCTCACGGCATTTCGTGTTATAGTCACGAAATTAATTTAATCTATTGATTCGTGTTCACAAACACGATGTTCGCATTTTTTTCGTGTCACACAGAACGATTTTAAAAGCAATGTATTTCTATTGGTAGTATGTTTCGTGCCTGCAACACGTCTTTTTGTCCGGTCGGGTCTTGGAAGACCAGAAGCTGTGTGGTTAATAAAAACATTTTCTTACTCAATATCCTATCCCTTTTATTTTAAATTGTATAATGTCGGAGTTTTTTTTGCCGTCCGCGAGGAAAATAAATGGGACTCAGAGCTTCAGAATACTGAAATCTGTATTTGTTGTCATATTTTTTTCCTTCTAATTTGTTATTATTTGGTGCAGGCACGAAACATACTTCCAATAGAAATACATTGCTTCTAAAATCGTTCTGTGTCAGAATACTGAAACAGGGTATATGCAGGGATGCCATAAATAAACTACAAAGAATCACACTACACACCTACGCAATGATTACATTCAGGCAAACTTTAGAATACAACCTCTTTGGACAATTTATATACTTATTGAAAACAAGCTACAAAATGTAATACCTTGGAAAATGCCGTTTAATACTTTTTAATACTTTTTAATAGCCTTCATTTTCGCTAAATTGATTTATCAACTTTTAATACTTTTTAAGACCCCGCGGACACCCTGTGAAATCTGTAATTTTTTTTATCTGTTTTTCCTTCTAATTTGTTATTATTTACATTGCTTTTAAAATCGTTCTGTGTGACACGAAAAAAATTGTGAAATCGTGTTGGTGAACAAGAATAAATAGATTAATTTCGTGACTATAACACGAAATGCCGTGAGACTGTGTTGTTGTTGCCTGGCTCTCAAAAGAGTTTGGCTGGCTGTTTGATCTATGTTCACACTGAGACAGTACAACACATAAAGAGAACAGTACACTTATTGTGTAAGTACATACAAGCAGGTCACACAGTATGATCACAAATACATAAACTCTGTTAAAAATCTGTTTTATTAAAAAGTTCAGGCTGCATATGTGTTCTCAGCCTTGGAGAAACTTGACATGTTTTGGTACATGTGTCTGAACCTCTCTTTAGTGGTTCATTAATAAAACAGATATTTTAACGTGTACCTACTTTGTTCATGTACTGTTGAGGTTAATTTTAGTAGTTGTGTGCTATAAGGAATTTACAAAGTGTGAATAGGAGGCAACTTTAGAATAGGGAACCTGTTCAGGTCAATTAGAGTCAAACTACTAGCTTATTGGTTATGAACAAGACTTCACTTTAAAATAGGGAACATATTCTTAGATAGAAATACCTCATTTTGAGTTATTTAGACATATTGAGGAGAGCTTATTAAGACCAAAGCTCATGTACAACAACTTCCTTACTTGCAATATATAAGGACAAATTAGAGGGTTATTGAGGAAAAGCTCTCAACTAATGGCCTATTACTTGTAGAATATGGTCATGTAGAATAAGACATTGATTATAAAATTATGTAAGTCAATATATTTACTTAGCTATCTCAATATATTGACTTAGCTATCTCAATATATTGACTTGGCTATCTCAATATATTGACTTAGCTATCTCAATATATTGACTTAGCTATCTCATTATATTGAGTTATATTTTTGTTATTGAAACAATTCTGTCAAATACAGAATAAGGCACATAGACATCAATGTTCATCATATAAGCGATACAACTTTATATTAAGGTACACAAATTAACCATCAACTAGTTGTTAATTAACATGCATATTAGCAGTATATTAGTCTTTATAAAACACTTATTAATGCCTTATTCTACATGAGCATATTCTACAAGTAATAGGCCATTAGTTGAGAGCTTTTCCTCAATAACCCTCAAATTAGTGCTTATTTATTGCGTAAGTAAGGAAGTTGTTGTACATGAGCTTTGGTCTTAATAAGCTCTCCTCAATATGTCTAAATAACTCAAAATGAGGTATTTCTATCTAAGAATATGTTCCCTATTTTAAAGTGAAGTCTTGTTCATAACCAATAAGCTAGTAGTTTGACTCTAATTGACCTGAACAGGTTCCCTATTCTAAAGTTGCCTCCTCTTCACACTTTGTAAATACGTTATAGCACACAACTACTGAAATTAACCTCAACAGTACATGAACAAAGTAGGTACACGTTAAAATATCTGTTTTATTAATGAACAACTAAAGAGAAACATGTCAAGTTTCTCCAAAGCTGAGAACATATATGCAGCCTGTACTTTTTTAATAAAAACAGATTTTTAACAGATTGTATGTATTTGTGATCATACTGTGTGACCTGCTTGTATGTACTTACACACTAGGTGTACTGTTCTCTTTATGTGTTGTACTGTCCCAGCCAAACTCTTTTGAGAGCCAGGGAATGAGCAGCCATGCTCCTTTATTGACTTATTTGCAGTCCACTGACATTCAAACGGAGTGAAACTATAAAAAAAGAAGTTACAAGGCACTTAATGATCTCATACATGCAAGTGTAACATACACAGATTACTTGTAGAATATGGTCATGTAGAATAAGGCATTAATAAGTGTTTTATAATGACTAATAAAGAGCCAATATACTGCTAATATGCATGCTAATTAACAACTAGTTGATGGTGAATTTGTGTACCTTAATATGAAGTTGTACTGCTTATATGATGAACATTGATGTCCACCATGTACAGCGACCTTGGGTCCCTTGAAAGGCGCTTTATAAATTCCATTTATTATTATTATTATTATTATTATGTGCCTTATTCTGTATTTGACATAATAGTTTCAATATTTTTTTATATAACTCAATATATTGAGATAGCTAAGTCAATATATTGAGATAGTAAGTCAATATATTGAGATTTTTCCTGTGGCGCAAACAGGCTTCCATATGAACCTGTGAGTTGGATGTAGAGAAGTCAAGAATCAATATAAATGTTTTTATTTTAAAGTAAATTCAGATTGAACATAGTAAAAACAATGAAATTATGGTGTCCGTCCAAAAAAAAACATTACTTATAGTGAAAACCAGGGGCGTCGCCTGGACCTGGAAACATTCGGGGCTGAGCCCACAGTGGCGGTGTAGGTACCAGAATCTGTTCGGGGTTCGTTACGCCGCTTACCAATGACGTCACGCATTGGCTGTACAGCAACCCAATAGGACATTTTACATGGCCAAATTCCGCAAAGAATATTACAAAATAACAATAAACAGTACTGTAAACATTATGTAAATAACCCAATTTGTGTTCTGTGAAACTGAAAAGGATATTAGTGTTTTTTGTTACTTTTCGTTGGCTGTTGACAGGAAGTTGTTGTTGCTATGGAAACAACATGACGGAGAAAAAAGTAATATCTTCTCCATATAAAGACGTAGAAAGTAAAGAATAACGTGGTGGCCTACCAGATCTGTTACAATGAAGGCTCGATAATCAGCTCACGACATATAGGTGTGTCGTGTGTGTACAGAGTTATAAAGGTTGGTATAAAATCCTTGTTAAATCGGAGAATTAATTTGGGTTACGCCAGAGGTGGCGATATATGCTCCAAGTGGAAGCGATTCGCCATTAAATAAAAGAAGAAGAAGAAGAATTACGCCATCTGGTGTCACAAACAAACGTGTGCCTGCATTAGCTTTGTTACGGCAATGGATTGTGGGAGATTCTCATAACATGTGAGGATCTCTCGAGGGTAAGGTGCCTGTATTATTTTGGTGGACAAAATGTATGTTTTTATTTTATAAGGACTATAACGTTTTGTTGTGTTTGTTTAGTTTAATGTTAATCGTTTAATGCTCACACAGCAGCATGTTTTTTGTGTGTTTGGCTATTGGTTTTATATGATTTATCAACGTGATCATCAATAGCTAATCTGAGCTAATAAGCTAATGGGAGAGCTGCTCCACACGATGCCTCGACTACAAAGTCTTCCATGTTTCTACGCTTCTTCCTCTGTGTCACAGTTTCGGGAATATCAAGATCATTGCACAGGGCCTTGGTCTTGCTTTCTCGTCACTTCTGTAACTTTTCAGTGTGTTCTCAACTGCTGTTTTGTAATTTACTGCCTGCACCAAGTCAATTGTTTCTTTCTGCAGGTATTTGTGCAGGCCCTGAGTGGTTGAGAGCAGTGTCTGGAACAGGACAAGCATGTAGATGGTACTGCATTTGCAAAACTTGCTTTCCAGCCCCTTTGCCAGAGGGGCTGAAAGGCTCCCTAAAGTCTTGATCAAAGCAGGGAGGTTTTTGACATGCCCAGCGAACAAGTTATTTGTCCCCTACCTCTAGCTGTTTCTGAAATGTTTGCAATCTCTAATGGTGGAGAAGAAAGAGTAGAGACACTCCAGGAGATCAACGCAGGTATGTGAGTTTTGTACACCAGTTTTTTTAAGTTTAATGTTTCACATTGCTTATGAAAAATATACTACCACTATACGATCACTGATGTTTTGTTGTTGACTGGACACTTATTTTTTTAAAGAGATGGCATGTGAGGATCTCTTAAGCAATGAAGCTCACGTGTCCTTTTTATATGCTGTCCATTGAAATGCAGGAAAGTAATCACCAACTGTGAGTGATCTGTTGCCGAGGGGACACTACACCGGAGTTACATAAGCAGAGGTAAAGTACTATTTTTGGGGGGAACTCCCCCAGGAAGATTTTTTTTAAATATTGAAGTTAAAAGCATCAATCTGGTGCACTTTGAGAGCAACATTAAGAGATCTATACATCTCTCAACACCCATATGTCAAAAAAAATCAAAGAATCAGAATCAGAAACAGGTTTATTATTTAAAAACACTTGATTTTCCAATTAAATCATAAACTATGTCAAATTATTAGAAGTTGTTAGTAATGAGATTAAACTGAAAAAAGGGATGGAAGGAGGAAATAATAATCCCTCATCACTTGCTTCCTTCCTCACTTGCTGCTTCCTTCATCACATTACCTTTCATTTGCTTCGTTTTTTCTCCCCATCATCACTCGCTGTCTTCACACTCTTTATTGTTTTGTAGGTGGAAGTGTTAGGCTAAATCGCCTTGGTTTGACCTTCGCAAATCGGTCGACGACCTCCCCATGGAGGGTGACATGCCTGTATGCCAATTAATATTTTTTCCCCAACTCCAGAAAACCTGTTTTGAAGCTCCTCCAGCATTCTGTCGAGAACTGGAAAGAAGAGCCTTGTGTATGTTTGAATTTTCATGTTCTCGAAAAGAATCCAATGCACGCTTCCAGTTTGTGTATCCTGAGGTGGTGAGGGTGTCCCTTTGATCCCTTGATTGCTTTGGTTTGCCATATAGTCTACAACTAAAGCAGAATGCTGCATTGGCAGTGGTAGAATATTCAACCCATTTAAAAGTATCAAACCAACTTGGTTGAAATGATCTCTTTTGCTGGCCAAACATGCCGGATGGAAAACAGTGATGTCTCACTTGCCTTGGCCCTGTATCTGCAGTCCCTAAATCAGTTCCCCAGTTACCCATTGACTCTTGTCTGTTCTGATGTTCCTGTTCATTGTTGTTCTTATCTGTTGTATCTCCTTCTTGTGTGTCCCTTTCTCCTGTTCTCCTTTCTTCATCCTCTACTATTTTTGGCTCATCTGTGATGACTGTGTAGGTAAACACAAACAAGTATTTAAAATCAGTTTCCAGCTCTGTCAAATAAATGAATTTCAAGATACACAAATTTGTCTTCATTAAAATGAGTGTCACCACACTGTCACAAAATATAATACTAACCAATTGAAAATAGTTAAATTGACATTGGAAACCTCTTGTACAGTAGATATCACTGTTAGTAGTTATCTGCCAATAGGAGAGAATCATTCCTATACAAATGCAGTTTGAGTAATTCACTTAATATATTTACTTAACACTTAAATATAGTCATTTTCACGTAATACTCGAATAGTCATCTTTCTGCATTCAAAACTAAGGAAAGCTGTACAATTTGACATGATAATGAGGAAAAAAGGCCTCCGACAATGCAGATTTTTTGATCATATCAATTTTAAGATGGGGGTCGAGGCTTAATATTTGGGAGCATAGTGTCCCTTGTCCCCTTTCAGGAGCCCTACTGGATTAGCTTTGATCTGAAATCTTTGTATATAAAAAGCTTGTTAGCTGGCTGTCCATCTCATAATGTTCACATAGAAACTAGCTATCAATAGGAAATATCAATCAGAATTATAATTTCATGCAAAAATCTGTCACAAAAAGAGGTTGCACATTTAAATTCAGGTGTTATGGCCACGTCAGTGGCCAAACAGCCACATTTACTGCTGCAAATACGTTCAAACGTGCTGTCGACAGTAAAGCAGTGGCAACTAGGCCACCATTTAAACTGACTTTTCTCAGAAATACTGTCACATAACATCCATATATTTCAGTGCTAGTTTGATGCTTAGCTAAGCTAACTATGAAACACTTTAACTGACAGGACTCAGGATCAACTGTGTACTGTAAGGTAGCTTCTAGCTTCCTGTCGAACAGTAAGTCAACATTTCCCAGAGAGCTTTCTTTGAAATCACCAGGTAACGCTAAAAAACACAACATTTATATTGTATGACAAAGTGTTTATTTAATATATCTGGCTCGCTATAGCTACTTGCTAACGGTTTAGATTACCCGTGCGATTCAAAGTAACGTCAACGTAGCTGTAATTTATGCTTTGCTTACATGTTCGCATAACTTGTAAGTTTACTGACATGTACATACCTTGTTCACCTGGCTCAGGTGGTGGCTCTGGGGTTGTTGTGTGAGCCACCACTTGAGTATTGCCGTCTTTTTTATTGAAAACATGTCTAATGTCCATCTTCAGAATCTCCGCGTCCGGGGCTGACAGTTTAAAGTTTAAACATTGTCACAGAGGAGAGGTACGTACCTGTCAGCCAATAAAACACGTTTATTTCCATGCAACTCTCTGATTGGTCTGGTGGTGTCTTGGCTTGCCTATGTTGCATTCACTGAACACGGGAAATTACAAACCTGCCGTCCTATAGGTAAAGAAGTACGGTTAATGTATTATATTGAGGGAGAATTTGTCCGGGGCTAAAGAAAAAACATCCGGGGCTAAAGCCCCGGATGCCTACCCCAGGCGACGCCACTGGTGAAAACCACCCTTGAATGATGGGATAGTAGACTAAAAGCTTTAGCAATCCAAACTATAACATATAATAAGTACCATGTATCAAGATTGATGCAAAACAAGTGAAATTTGACATTTTTAGAGAGATTTAGAAAAATAAAACCCCACCTTTGGGGTCATTTGGGTGGATTTGCCGTTTCTCTGCAACTCATTGGTCGATTTTGGTGATTGACATCTCTTTTGAACCGTTAGAGCCAAGAGAATCAAAGGGGAAGTTCCACATACACACACAAGTTACCATTGAGGAGTGAGAGTGACACTCACGCAGTCGAAAGCTATGTTACGCTCTGAAAACTGAAACCTAGGCTCAAACTAGTAAATATGAAGATGGATTATCAGTAATCATTTCAAAGTGACACGGACACATTGGATTAACCATTGGATTAACCTTCAGCAGCGTTTTTATTATTTTGATGCCATTGAACACAACTTTTGATCAGAAACAGCAAAAGGTAAGACAAATTGGCCGTGTTTGCTCCGTAAAGCTCCGTGTTGTGATATCTGTGTTTGCTTCCCCTGTCGCGAGTTCTGATCGCTCAGTGATGATACTTATATTTCTGGAATCTGTGGAATCTCAGCTTGCTAATCGATATCTTGTTTGGGCTCATTTAGACGCTTCTTGTGAGACTTGTGTTTTGTTTCACTCTTGAGGAAAATATTCGTAGTGGCCAAACGGCGTTACTACAACTCAGTGGCGAGCCGTGAGCTTTATACCTAGGCCCTCTGACCCCCACCCCTTCCCTCGAAAAAAAGAAAAAAAAATAGTTATTACGTCACAGCGTATACTTCAGCGGAATATCAAAACAACGGCCCGGGGTGCAAAGCGCATCAATGACAGCGACCCTCTACCACACAAAACAACACCTGTGAACCCAATTTGTGTTCTTTGACATTGAAAATGATATTGCATTGTGTTTGTTACTTTCGTTGCCGTTGTATGTCTTAAGTGTAATTTGGCATGCTTTTATTTTGAAGGCGAGTTCACGCTGTTGACAGGAAGTTGTTGTTGCTATGGAAACAAGAAAAGTTTCACAGCGGGCGGAACTTGTCATCTAGTCCGCGATAATAAAACCCACCCATTTAGAGGGAAGATATGATTGGTCAATTGTACTGTCATTTGACATTACTCTCTCGTTGAGTTACTATAGCGGGCCCTCTGTGAATCGCAGAGAGGGCCAGGCAGCTTCTTTCATGTAACCCCTACATTCAAACAGAGACTGAACAGGCAGATTCGAAGGATTTATTTATTTGGAAATGTTATTTTATTAAATCAAGTTTTTTTTCGGTAAAACTAATGAAAAATATAACAAAAATAATATTAAAAAAATATATATTTTAAAAAATATATTTTTTTTTAATGTTTTTAAATATTATTTTTTGGAATATCTTAGGCCCTCACAGAGGGCCTAGAGGGCCCTGACGGCTCGCCACTGCTACAACTTCCGTATCAGTCTGTGACGTCACCCGGCCCAGAAAGACTGTTTCTCATTGACCAACACTGGGAAAGAGAAGACTGTAAATCAGCGGATAGTTTTTTTTAACTAAATAAACTACCCAGTAGGAACAACTTTCATAGCCCTTATTAGAATCATTAGGTCCTCAGAGTTGTTAAATGCACTAAAAGCCGAATCCAGATTTATTTTCTCTCTCCATTCATTCTAGTGAGCCGGGAGCTCGGGGGCGGGGCTTAAGGAGAAACCCAACTGTGCATGCTCTATGAGCGCTGCACATATGGGTACTTCTGCTCTGACAGCCAGGCCTGACGGGTAATCTGTGATGTTTTGCTCTCAAGAATCTCAGGCCATTTTGTCCTCATGCGCCAATGAGCAGCTCTCAGAGGAGTGAACAAGGTTATTATACCTAAATGAGGAAGATGGGGGAGCAGCAGAGGAACGTCAGAGGGGGCCCTGATAACATCTCTGGGTACCAGGAACCACACTCCCAGCCCCAGTGGAACCTAAAGACGCTGAATGAATGAAACATTGTTTTTAAACAGATTTCACCAGTCTTGTGCCCCTTCCCCAACCTGCTGCAGCCCCCATTCTCCTCACTGCATGTCCCGCCCCCTCCTGTCAGCACTGAGCTCCTTCAGAGACAGGCTGCTTCACAGCGGTTCCTCCACAGAGGTTAGACACACACCAATACTGACTGTAGAACTAGTTGTGTAATCACACTGCTTACATGTTATCAATACTATTTAATTGTATTTGTGCTGACTGCTAGTTCAGTTGATCCTATTATGTGGCGACCTACACTTATTTTAACCATGGTTGTGTACTTATTTTCTTTTTTTATTACACATGTGCATGACTCTTATCATTTGATTGGCCCACTTATTGTTTGCCTTTTATTTGCAATGTCCCTTTTCTGATTTAACACTGTTACTTATTCCCCCTGTGAGAAAAATAATGGAATTCCATTAATCCCTCCAGGATCCTGAGACAAACAGTAAAGACATAAGGGACATAAACTCTTTAAAATCATTCAGATACTGCACTTGTGCTCATCAACATACCTCCACTCACTCTGCCCCCCCCTCCTCCACTCCACTCTCTATTTTAGAATAGATTTTATATATAGTTCTGCTATCAATATATACATTTTTAAATGATCAGGGAATGAAGACCGTCACACAAATATTTTTCGAAACTTCCTCTTTTTCTGCAAGCTGCTGAAATATAAATGATACATTAATAATGATGAAAGCATATGAGTTACTTTGAAAAAAACTTAGAAAATACAAAACAAATATGCCTGTGATTAGGAGCTCATACTCCAATTCTTAGCTTTAAAAATAAAAATAACTAAAACATTTAAATAAATAACGGATGTGTCTTGACGTGTGTCCCCGTGAGGAATACTACTCTGATCTGTTCGAATAATCAGTGTCATTACTGTCTTCAATCACGTTTGATTCAGGACTTTTAAATATTCCGATTGTTTGACTGTGTTTTTCCAGGCGCCTACTTTCTGTTTCAGAGTTGATGCTGAGTGTGTTGCATATGCATCGACCCTGATGGTATAATATTGCACATTATGTAAGTCAAGTTCCACTTAAGGTAGCAGAGAAGCACTTTTGCCATAAAGTACTTCTAGGCAGTGCATTATAAATGGATGCAGCGCTACAGTCCAGTGTGTGGCCTTGGAGTAATTTCCAGACATGGAACATCTGAAACCATCAACCCTAAACATGCACTCCACATTTCTCCTATTACTTGCTGGCAGGAAGTGGTCCCGTTGGTCCCTCATCTTGGTTAATGGTGGCTGAGTGGCTCTCAGGCCGCTCATATAATGACCTGTAATGCATAAAAACTCACCTACTGGGTAATTTTCTTCCTCTCAATCCTAATGTACATTTGAGAGTCCCTTCCAAATGTGTCATTCAGCCCAATGTGTGATGGCAGAAAAAAAATACAAAGCAGGAGGTGAAATGGAAGGCATTGTGGTTAATGCACTGCTGACGATGATGGGTGCTTCCTGTTAGAGACACAGCAGCAACAAAAACAGCATGTAAAGAGACAGTGAAACCGAGA